GCGGGGCCGGGGGTGCGCAGTGCTGCCACGGCGTGGCGGGACGGCGGAGGCGGGAGCGGCCCCCGCAGCCCTTGGCAAGGGCAGCTCTGGGACCCTGCTCTGCGCAAGGGGAAACCCAAATGAAAGATTAGGGAAAAAAAAAAAACCCAAAACATTTAAAAAAACAAAGCAATCCGGCCTAGTTTGTTGGTTTTTTTTTTTCTATGGGAGCATCGCGAGTTGCCCCCAGGCAAGATATTCCGGCAAGGCCGGCTCTGCCTCCTCCCCTTCCCCTCCGCTCTACCTCGATGTGTGTCAACTGTAAAATATCACCCATGCGAGCTGGCTGGGGAGGACCCGCCCGCGTCCCCCTGGCCGGGCTTTCCGTACCCCGCCAGTCTAAACAACGGTTCGCCTTGACCAAACTGTTTGGATTAGGAGCTATTAGTTAAAGGTTGGTTTTGGTGACGCTGCGGAGCACGAGGAGGATTTGTAAGTGGTTTTATATAGGAGGAGAAGGAGGCTTTTAAGTTTAAGAGGGTAACTGCCCCCGCACCTGTATCTGAGAGCGGCGGGGGCTGCTGGCCGGGCGTTCGGCGGGAGGAGGAAGGCGAAGTGCCTGGTGGAGGAGGTGCTGGGGGCGCCTGGAATTCCGAAAACAAATAAAATGCGGATGAAATACACGGATATCGCCAAGTGTGACTTTGCTGCGGTGGCAAAATGCAGCGGCTGGCTTTCTGCTTCTCGGGGGGGTGGAATGGTGAAGGGAAACTGCTACGAAATGTGCCCGGGCAAGGCAATTTCCCTGGCAGAGCCGGGGGGTAACAGATTATTGTAATTCGGGGTTTTCTGGGGGTAGGGGGAGGAGCGGAGAGGACGCCTGAATGTGATTGAAGCGGAGATTGCAGTGCAGATTGTTTAGCTGTCACTGTAACTACTCTAACACGACCTAGTCAGGCAAACGTGCACTTTTCACTCCGTTTAATATCGTGGGATCAAGGAATAAATGTTTTCGCTGCCCTGCGGGTCCAGATTTCGACACTTTGGTTTGGACGCAAATAGCTACTTGAAAAGGAGGAAAGAATCAGAAAGAAAAAGAGAGGGGAAAATAGAAATCGGTCTGTAGCCGATGCTATAAAATGTAAATATAGATCAGGCTGGCGCGATTTTTTTATTTTGGTCTCTGTGTGATAGATTAAAGCAAAAGACCGTAGGGCCACAACTTTTTTAAAGTAGGGCCGGTGGATTCCGCGTGTCCCGAGTGTTCATTTTCACGGTGCGTTTTCTTTCTGACCTATGTTGGTGAAAATGTACTCTTTTAAATACCTCTTTGTCTTTAGCGTGGTGTGTACTTGTTTGCTGGTGTTCCCTGCATCTAGAAACTCGGTTCTCGCTGAGTAAAAAAAAAAAAAGGTTTTGGTCATTGTGGTTTGTTTTTTTTTTTTCTGGAGAAGTTTGGTTTTCAGGAAATACAAGTTTCTGAAATTGCCTCCTAAAACATGCAGCGAGTGAGCTGTAATTCTACCAGGTGTGTTTATGGATTAGACGGGCTGAAGAGGTTAAGTAAGTTGAAAAAAATAAATAAATTGGAGGCAATCAACATCTGAATGTGAAAGTCCAGCTGAGACTGTGAACAATACAAACTATTGTGAAGAGATGTTTTAACTCACTACTGGTTTATAGGTATCGTAATCTGCCCCCGGAAATGAGACAAATAGTCTCCCAACAACAACAAAACTCTCCTTTGAAAGCTAGTTTAGGAAATGGGGCTAATACGAATGTCACTTTCCTTCAGAGGCGTTTAAAATTAGGCTTTTCAATCTGTTGTAAGGGGCACGGACTATAGTAAACACAGCTTGGAATGAACAACCTCATGTTATCTCCAGGAACTGCAGGGTTACGGCTGAATTAAAAGCGTCTCAGCGAATTTCATCAGCACTGTTACTGTCCCTGCCCTGGGCCAAGAATTATATTTCCGCGATGGGGCAACTGCCATGTTGAAAAATGAAGGTGGAAATGTTTGTTTCACGTATTTTCCCCCCCTTCTTCCTCCCACCCCACCCTTAAAGACACACGTCCGCATTTAATCGAATTATTCGGAGCACCAACGAAACCGATTGGCTTCTGCTCACTCGTTAGCGGAGCTACATTAATTAGGAATAGTCCTACTGGCTCGGTTTTGAATGTCGATGTTTGATTCCCTCGGCTCTACTCTGGCGGGGGGTACTCGGGGAGAAGAGACACGTGGAACTTTATCTGGGCTTCTCGGAGGGCGCCGGCAGCCCGTCCAGCCCTTCCCGGGCCTTCTCGGGCACTTGGTGCAAAAGAAAAATCTCCCACCGCTTCCTGCCACAGCCACAGCCTCTGCTTTAATTATGGGGGTGTTCATTAAGACACAAGCCTTCTTCCACGCAGGAGGCGTCAGACTCTCGCACAAAAGCTGTGTTAGGCGATGGGGCGGGCTCCGAAGGGAAATCCTCATCGGAGGTACAATTCCCGAGAATAACCGCCTAAAGAATCCTGGATGCGGTTGTGGCATCGCGGTGGGAAAACGGATAGAGGCC